CTTCAACGCCAACATTCGACCGCAAGACGAGCGTCTTCACGGACCACAAGCCACTGATATCCATCTCTAACAAACCACTCCGTAACGTCCCAATTCGTCTACAGTAGATGCTTATTCGGCTCCAGAAGTACGGTCTAGATATTGTTTATCAGCGGACACGTTTTTCAAAGTGTACATTCCGGATGCAACGGGAATACAAGAAGACCCGATTTGGTTCATGCGACACAACTATTCGCTGTCATTGATGAACGCCTGCAGCAATTGCGACGGTGCACAGAAGAGGATGAGGTATGCAAACTCCTGGAACAAAGCACATTGAATGGATAGCCGGATAAAAAGCAATTGTCAGATGAACTAACGCAGTTTTTATCATTTCCGCGACGAACTCGTCGTCCAGGAAGCATTGCTTTTCAAAAGAAACCGAATCCTTGTCCAGAAGACAGTGCAGCGCCGCATACTAAAGCTTAAACACTGCGCGCACCTGGGAATCAATAACTGTGTGGCAACATCGCAGGAACTGGTGTTTTGGCCACGCATGACTAGCCAAATAGGGGATTACGTATTCAAATGCTTAACCCGTAGCACACATGACGTATGCCAGCCGAAAGAACCGATGGTGCTCCGCAAAGTACCAGAGAGACTTTGGCAGAGTCACTTTGCATATCTTTGTCCATGAAAGAAACAATTATTTAATTGTAGTGGACTACTTTGGTGACTATTTTGAGATTGACGTCCTAACTACAACCAGTACGCAGGCCATTGTAAACAAGTTACGATACCGATTCCCTGGACATACAATACCTGAAAAGGTGATCTCGGATAACAGACCGCAGTTCACCAGCGTAGAATTCCGTGCTCTCGGTGAGAAATGGGATTTCCTTCACCGACTACCCAGTCCATGCCACAGCCAATCGAACGGAAAAGCTGAGTCTGCCGTAAGCGAAGCAAACAAACTACTCATCAAGGCCAGAGAAACGTATGAGGATCCTTATCTTATGTTACTTGAAAGAAGAAACTCGTCCTTTAATGAGGTCGGACCAAATCCAGTTCAGCGTTTGTTCAGTCGTAGAACAAGCACGTTGCTGCCAGCAGTCATGCTTCTACTGCAAGCTGAGATGCAGTCGGCCGCTGTTCTATAAGACCTCCTGAGGAATAGAATGTTAAGACAGAAGAGTTACTGTGATCGTGGATCGACACCTTCCACCTTCAGCATTGGGAGACGAAGTATCCATTCAGCCAGTACCTGGAGCCGCTAGGCGCTGGACGAGTGGAGTAATTGAAGGCCGTAAGGGGGAGAGGAGTTACGAAGTCAGAATTTGGAATAATATAATTAGAAGGAATCGAGTGCAGCTCCGAAAACGATGCGAACGCAATCTGCAAGATGAGGAACAACGGCTTCAGCGGGACCAAGCGTCTGTCACTACAGCGCAGGAGTTGGAGGTCACACGAATTGATAAGCCTTACCGGACACGTGACAACACCGGTCCAACAAAAAAGGAAAGGTGTGGTAATAGCTAGTCGCTTGAGCAAAGCTGAGGAGCCGGCCATAGCCATGCGGGCCAATCACGGGCTGCGATAGCAAATGAGTCAGGCGAGTATGATACCTGAAAGCCGCTTGAGAGAAAAAAAAGTAAAAGCATATGGTCAATGGGACAATCAGGTGCACGTATCAACGAGCCAGAGGAGGGAATCGAGTTTGGCTTATTGGTGGATCAGTTTAGTCGAGACACCCACATGCAGACGAGGTAAAAACGACAGATCAGACATACAAAGCGGAGCTGCCATACCCAGTCGTGGCTCCAGACGGATGAACGAAGACGGATCAGAAGCCGACGGAAACAAGCAGCGCGTCGGGCCAGTGAACGTAAAGTAACACGAAAGTTGCAGCGGCCAATGTCGACAGACAACCATTACCCATTTGTGTACAGTGAAAACGCCCTGATTCTTCAATAACACTGATCATTGTCTAGACTTGCCTTTGAATCTCGGCGAGCGCTACTCGAGTGTGACAGGCAAATCCGGAACGGGTTGCCACCACCCATTTATTCTGCTTTTTTTATGCTTCACCGCATTTATGTTAGAGTGATTTACACGTATCTTTTTCCACAGTACACTAAAATGGATCTAATCCATTTGCTTCGATTTGCATAGTGCTTTTTTTCCTCTGCATATACCCTGTTTATTTCGCGTGTTTTTCTCTCATTTTCAATGTTAGGCGGTTGATACCCCTGCAACACTGCAACTTGCTCAAGATCACCCTAACAATAGATCAGAATTCATGCATCTTTTGATTTGCTCAGTTCTGGCATTCTGCCGCACACTTAATATCCTGTTTACCTGTTTAGTTCATCTCATATGCTTTTGTATTCATATGGCGCTACATGCTGTGGCTTCTTAAGCGCAGTTGGACTACACTGACTTACATATAAACTAGATCTTCTTAATCGGGATAAAACCATGCCACTCTATTTTAGTTGCTCTGCTTTTTATTATGCTACATATTCTACGTCAGTTTTGTGCTTTATTTGCCTTCAAATTCTTTGTTGGTTGTTTGCTATCCTGGGTGTGCCTGCGCTTGATGTAAATGTTGACAAAGAGCATACCTGTCCAACACCCTCTATCTCGATTGCTGACTCCAGAAGACTGCTAATCTTTGCCGGTAGTGACGGGATACACCGTCTTCGTGGACGTGGTAGGCTCACAGAATGGTTCTGTGCATCCAATGTGGAATGAACTACGACCCAGCCACCGCTTTGTGTACGCCTAGTACGCGTACTTCCCTACAAAGATAAATAGGAATGCTGCTGCTGTGAGTGTTGAAAGAGCGTGAGCCGGCCCCGTTGAAGAAAGATGGCTCCCATCCACACGCCTCGACGTTTTATTCCTTCGGGATTACTATGGGTATGGGTGTGTCGATGTACTGTGGGTGGTGCAACGCAAGCCACCCTTGGTCCGTCAGCAGGCACAGTCATCTTGTGGCTGTACCCGTGGAGAGCACAGTGACAGGCAAATTCGGAACCGGATATCGCCAACAGTGCTCGCGTTGTGTACGCTGTATCCCCTGTTTCAAGTACTGGAACGCAGATTCACCAGTTCATTGCTAATTTGCATGCTGTTTGATTTGTGGACAGTTTCAAATTAGTCATGGTTCCCATCTCATGCCTCCTTATCTTGTTCCTTCGGATTTCTAGTGTACATTGTATTGGGTTGCGATGAGGACTTGGATGGTGTTGCTGAACTACGCGCATTTATGCACCGGTAAGCTTCGACGGCTGGTCATAACGGTGACGTACAAACGCAGCAGTCTGCGTACTTGTATATAGCGTTCCAGTATATTTAACACAGTTGTGGAAACTACTGCATTGCAAAAATAATACAGGCCATGGGAAAGCTCCGTCATTCATGAACACCACAGCGCTTGACACGGCAGCCAGAAGTTCAGTATTGGGTCTTGGAGTAATTGTCATGTGTCCAGATTGCTACATGCAACATCTAGACAGCGCAAAAATAATACAGGTCATGGGAAAGCTCCGCCATTCATGAACAAACGGAATATTGGTAGGGTCAAGCTGAGAGAACTTACAGCAAAGCTGGTTCGCACAGCATTCTCATGTGCACTGTACATCCAATACTATTAACTACTATGCAATTCATTATTATGCCTTGGAGTACCGGCCATGTGTCCGGATTGCGACACGCAATCTCTATTGAGTCTGCAGTTTGCATTGAAGTAAACCTGTGCCATTTAGATCACTGGGGTCTCATCCGAACTGGAGAGTTTGGAAGGTGCTTTCTCCCAACACTGCACTCTGCTACCGACCGGTTTTGTCCTGATTGCATATCGCAATCCAGGCACATAATGGGTAGTTCAAGTCCCAATAATGAATTTCTAAACGCTGTGTCAAGCGCTGCTGCGGAGCACTGGCCTAGTGACTAGGGCGAAAGCTGTCAACCATTGTGTTGGCCTTCCCCCTCAGCTCAAGCTATCCCTACCTGACGAATCCAAATAAGAATTAAACTGTTCAGCCTTTGAGTGCGGTGTTGGGAGAGAGGAGCTCCGAAGCTCTCAACCATGCAGTTGTACCAAAATCCAAGTTAAAAACAGCCGTCAAACATCATCCAAGCAGGGGACTTTGGCGCGTCTAAGAGCCGAGACCATTCGCTTCCCATCCGATTGGCTGCCCTGCAAGTACCGCTGGTATGGCTACGCCATCCCATACCCCATTCCGATCACAAAGTCGACTTGGGCAGTCTACGTAACATAGGCCAATATTAGTTTGACTTTTGCTGTGTACCAGTGACGTGAACCAAAGTCCGCAAAAGGCGGAAGCATAAAAAGTGCGGCTTCTTTACATTGGAAGCAGGTTTCGATGGTATGATTAACGCATATTTCCATGTGCTAATATTTGATGAATAACCTATGATTTATATCGCTGATTTACCAGTGCATTCCCAAGAACTTTATGAAGTCCAGGTAGCACTAACTGTAATATCCATCTTCGTTTGTCCGGATAGCGTTATGTTTGATGCTCAGCAGCCTTCTCGTCTTGACGGAGCCTTTGGAAGCAGTTTGTTCCCATTCGACTGTATCATATAGTCATAGAATACTTCAAAATTAGACACAGTGACAGCACTATATACATCGGCTTGATTTGTAAGGACGATGGATGGATTTAGACTTTAACGTTGCCCTGTCATAAGGCCATAGGGTTTAAAGCACAAAAATATCGGTGCCAGTGTCTTAATTGACCAGCGCTTTTTTGGAACATTCCAATCCTGTCACTAAAATGAATATCACAGTCTCAACGTTCCGTTGAATCCCGCTCGCCATGTAGCCATTTGCTCGTGAAAATACGAGTTCTTAGTCGGTACTACGGGATTAAAAAAGCTACCTCACGGTGCACCGTTATCATTCGCGTCATGTTTGTTTGTAACTTAGGATGAAATTCAAGTTGCATGCTTCTCAGAAACAAAGCGATATCAAGTACCAAATAACTCACCAGCTCCGGCGATGACTGCAGCACTGCATGAGTCACGAAAAACCACGTTTCCATCGGAATCCAAACTTCCAACGCTCAGCTCGTATACTCCTCCCTTTTGAAGCTCCGTAACATTAAATTCGTACTTTTCGCCCCAATCATCTGGAGGCCGGAGGCTGATATTCTGAACTTGTACTTCCTTCTCAGAATCTTGCATTACCTTTCTAACAGAATGAACTCGGATCTGATAACCAGTGACTACAGGGCCGTACGGGCGCCGAAACCACTGCACGTTTACCACGGGTTCATCAAAAATCGTTGTGAAGGAGCAAGCCAAGGGAGCTTCCAACTTCGACCCAAGTGAAACACATGCATCATCAATCCAACAGTGGACCTCACTTAGTTCAGTGGTGATGCTTTCATTGATCTGTGAGAAGAATTTACAACAGTGTACTTGTGGAAACAACCTCATAGGTATGTAAATCTATTCACCGTATATTTTGTGCCGTATTAAACACTTGTACCTTTTAGCTTACAACTTACATAACTTTCTGTTGTTTTAAGCTATTCCTCCGACATATGCTGGGGTGTGGAACAGCGATAAACTTACGATTGACATTGGAACAAAGAAGCCACACCGAGTTCTTTGAAACACTGTTTAACTACTTCAAATGAATACTCCTTGATTACCATCAACTAAAATATGTGGTCTCCATCATCTGTGCCTAGCAAATGAGATGCGACCACATGGGAGGATGTGTGTGCGACGGTAATTAACCGGTGTATGCATATGGAAAATTAAGTTATGAAATGCCTTGGTGAGACCAAGGTAAGGAAGGCTTGCATTGCACTGTTTTGCTAATTAGTTTCATGTAATCTTTGATACTCGCCACCCTTTAATATCTCCAGCGGTGTGAGACAAGGATGCCCGCTGTCACCTTTCCTCTTCAACTTCGCTATTGACGAAGTCATGGAGTTTGCATTTACAGGACATGACTTTAAAGGTGTGGAACTACTCCGAGGAGAACGACTTTTGGACTTAGAGTATGCAGATGATATTGCCCTCATCTGTGACAGCTCCCAGACGTGCCAAGCCGCGCTGAACAGATTGGCACTGGCTGTCGGTCACTTCTGGCTTTGCTTTGCACCATCGAAATGCAAAGCGTTCCTCCAATATTGGCAGGGATCGCCTCCTACGCTGACCCTTGGTGGGGATCAGCTAGAAGTCGTTCGGAAATTCAACTACCTGGGAAGTTGTATCAGCGCCCTTGGGATCGAAGACGAGATCACGAACCGTATAGCGAAAGCTCGAAGTGTTTTTGATAACCTTCGCCACCTATGGTGCCGGCACGACATTACTCTCGCCCTGAAGGGTAGAGTGTACAATGCAGCGGTACGTTTGACCTTACTGTACGGTTGCGAAACCTGGCCCCTAAGATCGGCGGACATGAAGAGGCTAGTTACGTTCGACCATCGGTGCCTTCGCAGTTTGGCTCACATATGGTGGGAACACCGCGTGAGTAACGAGCTTGTTCAACGCCTTGTTCTCGGCCCAGGAAAAGGATCTGAACCGCTCAGCACCGTTATTTCCCGCACCAGGCTCCGATGGCTCGGGCACGTGCTACGCATGTCAGCCCACCGACTCCCTCGACGTGCGTTGTTTACTCACCGGGGATGTGCGTGGAAGAAGAGGAGAGGTGGCCAAGCGATGACTTGGTCCAGAGGAATGAAGGTCCTCACTTCGGAGCTAGCCTCGGTTGGAGCGTCACGGCTGCCTGGTTGGGGTCCAAAAGACGGTGAACGCGTTTGGCTGGATACACTTGCTGACATGGCAAGGAGCCGACCTCAGTGTCGCTTGTGCTGTGAGTTTCTTTATCCCTCCCCATCCCTTTTAGCCTCCCCCTCCATTTACGATCTCATTTCCTAGGGTAAAACATAACATTTTTTTCTTTTTGCCTAGTAGCTGGCTGGAAGCTTCCAGAAACGATGCCTATCCATTGCTGGTAGCTCAGCTGGCATGCAACTGTTGTATCTATTTTTCCTCTGTGTATTGTATTATATGTATGTGTGTATTTCCTTCATGTATTGCGCTACAATAGCGGAGGTGCTTTTCCCACCTCTGGCTGATGTGTATAATGAATGAATCTTTGATACTAGGAGACCTGATGACCACTGGGCGAGAAAACTGATTGCCAACGCGCGCGTGTTTGCCGCAAATCGTTCTTTGGAAAGACCCTGCGAGCGTGTTGCCAGGGCCCAGTCAAAGCTGACAGACGGCAGGCGTGTTGCCAAGGCCTGACCGGAAGCTGACGAAATCGCGCTTCAGACATCACATGCGTTGCTATGCACCGGGTAGGCGGACGAAGACTGGCGTGCCCGAGCAAGACCGTGAACTTGCCAGACGGTGCGGACATGCAAGTATGGAGCGTGGGCTTACAGCCAAATCTTTCAGGTGATGTTTAGAGGATTGGTGAGACCGACCTATAAATATGAGCGTTCTCTGTCCTAATACAACTTTGGTCTGCTGAATCTTCTTCTGTCTTCCTGTCGGGTTTGCCAAGGCGTCAAATAGCGCAGGCATAAGGGCGCAGATTTACCAGCAGGCGTGAATCAACCGGTCGATTGCGGGCACAGCTTTATAACACCTGACATTTGTAACCGCCTTCGGACCGCCCGCTGTATTGGGCTGGTTTCGATTCCAAGTTGACCAAAATCGACTTGGTTTTGTACGTGGTCGTCAATATCCAACGCTTCGGCCTCCTGCAGTAGTCCGAATCCCTTAAAGTGAACCGCCCCTCATTGGTAGGGCTGGTAAATTACAGACACACTGAACACTTAACTGTGCAGCCCCTAAGTACCAACAACATCTGCAGTATGCACAGTCAGCTTGGTTTCTGTCGCCTTCAGTCCACTCTCTTCTCGGTCTTCACTTAATTGTCAACTACCCAACTGACTGTGCCAATTGTAATTTCTACAGAGCAGTCGATCATATTCCCCTCGCTGCACCCTTACACCCATCTCAAAACGAAATCCGAAGTGGTAGACCAAGAAGAACGTAACTCAGCTGCCCCCCGTCAATCGCATCAGCACATCATGTGCCCCTGTGTCTCGCCCATTCTTTGATAGACGCGAATACTCCACAAATTGTAAGTTCCTGGTCGGGATACTAGCTCAAATAGCGCAAAAACGCACTAAATTTCATACAATGGAAGTCAAGAAAACCAAACACAACAGCTCCAATGTTTGGGCAGCACAAAGGTGGTCAGGAGTTTGCCCCACTGTCCACGAAAACCAAAGGAACAATGGTATATTACGGGTGCTAACGCGGATGATTAACAAGCCGCGTAACGTTGCCAGAACGAGAACCACAAGATGGTGAATAGAAAACAAAGTGATAAATTGCAAACCATTTTGTGGACTCATTACAGTGTTCACACAGAGGCATGAAGAAAGGGTCAACCTCAGTCGTTGTCAGCACCTACACGGTTAACACTTAACATAAATCCCGCTCTGACGCAATCAAAGATAGGCGCATGTGAACGCCAGCAAAAAAGCTTGTGGCGCGTCGGTCAGTGCCTATTTAGCCGGATTATTTATTGACCAAAACGCTAATACTCAGGAACTGTACCGTAAATCTTGTCAGTGAGGTTAGCCTCTTATTGAACCTTATTACTGTGGATTTTGTTTCTTTTGAACCGCTTTTCTTTTCATAGCGATAGCATGTGTGTCAAGTCTGATAATTCACAAGTCACCGGGTGCATATCAACGTAATCTTGACTTGATTTGACCTGGAGCATTCAGCCTCGCCTCACGACAGTCCACCGCCTGACAAGATGCGAGGCTTATATGAGGTAAAATACCTCGCAAATCCTTACTTCATGTTTATCTTCGCACACCCAGTCATAGGACCTACGCGTGTCTTTCGCGGGCAATTCCCTTACTGGTCATCCCTTGATCATAAGTATAAAAGTAACGGAATGCACGCTGATACCAAGGGAATAAGCTCACCCTTCGCATTAGTGCCGTACCCCACGGACGGACAAGGCTGTATGGAGGAACCATGACTAAGTGACATTCATAGACAGCATTAACGTTCTAAGATTCGCATTTATCCCTGTTAGCGTTTGCCGCCTAGGTGAGCTGATGCGCACCAATAAAGTAAAGTCTCGCAGTGCTATTAAACTGTACTGCCGGTTCGAAATTCACTTTATTGGTCGGACTTACTTTCATGACCGCTTGACAACAAACAAAGTTTACATACTACTTACTTGTTGCAGGTAACCCGACATCCTCTTTTATTAACTGAGCCCATCTTTTCGGCTGGGGAACCTGAAAGCCACACAAACATTGAACAGTGCCCACGGTGACAATGCAGCACTATTCAGTCTGTCCCTTCAAGCCCATTTGACATATAACCAGTTGGGGGCATGAACTATGTAAAGTTGAACGAGAAGGACGCTGATGTATGATGCACCGTGAACTAGGAAGGTATGGTGCTGGGTTTGGTTTTACATACGTATTGCTTCTTCTCTTCGTCCAAACTAGACGGATTTAACCTGACTGAAATTATTCTGAACAATTTTTCCGAACCCTCCACCACCAAACAGCTAATTAAAATCCCAACAACGGTCGAGAACTTAGTCTCTATTACACACCTTTCGCAATGCGTTGAGAGCTTTCCTATATAATCTTTTCCCTTGGGTAGCTGAATTGACCCCCCGGCAAACGATCATGCCGAAGGGTGTTGAAACCGATAGGGATTGGTTCATCTGAATTGGCAAAGATTCTACGCTGGTGGAACATGTGCGTCAACATAAGCTGTTAGTTTACCTGAGCCGTTAAGGAGTGAGCATTTGAGTCCGCGCGCACTCTCCGGGGCTCGGAACGCGCCCCACCAAACCATACATGATGTTGCGTTTATGAACATGTGACGAGATATCCACGCTAGCGCGAAGTAGGTGTGACAGACGCACAGATCGTGGAAGCGTAAGGGGTTGGCCTAAAATCTAACGGCAACCAGCCCACTTGGATACTCGCCCACTTAGTATGCTTGCTGGATGGCTCACCTCGACTGAAGCTCGCTGTCTGTGGCTGAATACCTGTGCACCTGTCACACATCGAGTCGGACCGAACAGATAACTGCCAATCTACGCAAAGAGTGAACTTGCAGTAGATTCAGCTTGCAGGATGGGGTCTACCAAGCATGGTTCCCCGTTTAACCAGAGCACGAGTCGTACACGCTGTATTGTTTGCGACTGGCCTCAGGCATTTGAGCAATCATCCATGTAGATTATTGTTCTTAATGCCAATTTCGCTAGTTTCAAATTTTCCGTTCTTTTTCATCTCACAGACTGATCACGACGTAGACAGCTTGATTCAAGTGAGAGGTGCATTTGTAGGTAATGCTGATTTCGGTCCCTACTGAACCTCTATCCGTCTGCAACTTACAGAATTTTACTATCGGTACTTGAACCGCTCGGCATTTTAAAAAACAATGAAGGACGTGGCCAATGCAGACTCACTTCTGTTAGCTTTGCCCAGAACATCACTGTGAGCATCGTTGTACGAATGTGTTTGTGGTTGCTGACGAGGGATAACCTGTGTCTCATCGCTTTGGATAGGCTATACTTGAATGTTGAATGTGCCTTTGCTACTAATCCACGAGCCAAATGTCAGGTCTGGCCTCATCTGATATGAATGCCTGACACCACCGACTCGACCAGTGTATTTATGCTACAGATAATCGTTGCTAACAAATACTGTGGCAGTCTTCACAACGTCGTTGGTCTCAAAATGTACCTCCAGATTTGAACGGGCTGCGGATCGAGGCCCAATCCGGAGCAATCGTTGCTGAGACCGCGTACGCATTAGTTCCATTCCGTCAAGCTTACGCTAAATGCGTGTTGCGCACTTACAGTTGTGAGTGATGCGACACAAGGCAGCGATGGTCCCCTTCGTGGCGTATAAGTCCATGAGTGTCCATAGTTAGGATGATTGGTAGTTGTGAAGATAAATGTCACTAATCAAATAATGACATCCAGACGTAAATAGTGAATTTTTGGCGACATACTATTCGTCTTTTCTAACTTCATTTAAGATGCCGCCAAAGACCATTTTTAGCCGTTTCACTGTATACGCGCGGTCCCCTCTGCAATGACATGGCATGTGGTGATTTCGCGAAGTGAGGTTTGCCATATTTCCGTACTTCGCCTGACGCCCTGGGAATTTATCGGTACCCTACCAGTATAATGCGTCTGCCTTCTGACCTAAATTTTACTGGTTCGAAGCTGCGGGGGTGTAGGCGACCTCATAGTGCCCCTAGTGCACGCTCGAATCATGGTGGTCACGTGTCAGCTCAGCGGTTGCAGGGCGGATCGGCGTGTTGCTGACTCCATCATTGAAGGAGGTCCTCCGGTTCGGCGGAGGATGCAGACGGATAGTTGAATAATCTGCAATCCACCACTACTCAACGTGTAGTCGCCAGTAGTACCGATCTTGTCCATCAGTAGCGTGGTTCCGAAATCTACACATAGCGTGATCTAGAAAGATATTTGTCCACTATTTCTCAAATATTCCACGCTGTCGAGTAAGGGTCATCAGATGAGAAATATTTGAAGCCTCTGCTTTAAGCAAACCATTGCCGTTTCCCCTCTACCAGGGTCCCTGTATGAGAACAGTCTCATAAGTGTTACCCTCATACAGTCAAGGATCAGGAACCAGAAATGAGGTTGGTGTCGGACAGTATGAAAGGCAGAGTTAAATAAACCGCATGAGGCCCTACTTGTGATGGTTTGCGCCGCGCGAACCAATCAAAAACAAGTGGCATTGCATCAAAAGTTAGGCCCGGAAGCGTGTCTGCAGTTGGCATCATGTTTGCTGCAACACTGAAGTGCATTAGTCCGGTGTTCACTCCGTGTGGAAATACGAGGTTCGGTTTGGAGGACATCACATGAATACCACTTAAACAGGTACTGAAAAGATTAAGCGAACGCACTCGACAGACTGCGAACTAGGACTCGCAAGTGACCACAAGGTGAAAAGCGATTCCTCATGGGCATCGGACATCGATTGCTGCTGCTTAGTGCAGCCAGTTCGAGAGACTTACTTTGCGCAATGAGCACTGTTTTGTGTTGGACCCTGGTGGACACTTCCGGATCTGCAGCTCCACCCCAGGTTCGCAACGCTTGCCTGAGTCCTGTCCGGCGGTCCGCATTAACTCTTCCCACGCATAACCGTCTTCGAAAGGATCCACTCCCCATATGAGTGGTCGACAGGGCTGTAACATAATCCATGTGTCGTTTACTGAAACAGACAATGGTTGAGATGATCAAATGAGCTGTGGTTAGCTGGATGCTTCGTCACTTTTAATCAAACCCCCGTACTACTTGGGTTTTCAGGAAGTGCAACATATCACCCTGCATCTGTTGTCACCTGAACTGCAGAGACTAGAGGCAGCAAGCATTTAAGGATCCTCCGATTGGCTAAGGCTGATACTTGACATCCGCCACATCCTAAGAAGCTGTCTAAGCGTAACTGAAAGCTTTCCTCCTTTACTTTGCAGCTAAATTCTCTATCTGGGGAAGAGAACAAATTTCCTGATGGGAAGCACTCAAACATGAATCGCCAAGAGAAATGGTACTACAAGCTCCTCTCCGAGACCCGTGGACACGGCGGTTGCCATCTCGGCTCACAGTCTGAAATCTAGACTCCAGTAATTTCTTTCTATAGTCAGTACCATGGTTAAAAGCCACTGGACGTTTGTGCTCATAGATTGCCCGGTGGTGGATCGACCGCACTATACATGACTACATCCATTAACCACAGCTGCAATGCAAACCCGATCGAAATACCGGGAACCATACGAAGAGAAGAGACGATGAACTGGCGCTCGGCCCACACCCCTTTTACAAGCACCTTCGTGTGTGTAGAGCATACATGCGTGTCAAACCCGCATAAATCGATAGCCGAACCATAGCCTATTTGCTTTCAGAAGGCATTGCACTATGTTTCGGTAAAAATTAGCAACCGGCCAAAACCGTCAATCGCGGTGGTTGTAGCACACGAGTGTAAAGTTTGGCAGACTTTTACTGCGGCCAGAGGATTAACCGCTGTGTGATGGAGTACAATAAAGTAAGTGCGTTTGCAGCTCAGCTGATATTCCGTATAGTCTTAGCAATGCTCGGCTGCAGTAGATTCTAAGAATATCACAGATACAATAGTTCTTTTCATTGGCAACAAGTGCTTAGGAGTTAGATACTTATTGGTTAAGTGATTATAACAATTTGCGGAGAACAACCATACAGCGCGAAATGTTCGATGAACCATCATCCGTTTCTTGATATCGCAACAAACTGTTACTCTATCTCGAACAATGGGTAAAACTTTCCTGAGGCCAATCGGTGTCGAACGAAATGACATCCTGTCAGTATACGCTTCCTGCGCCAGCCGTCACAGCTATGGACTATGAATAATGAATGAATACGGGTTACGAAGCGTTGCTTTACAAATTCAGTTGGATATTTGGTGGGGATATGGAAATAATAATACTTATAATAATAATAAGTATAAGTATAATAATCATATTAATAACAATAAAACAGTGCGTACTTTAAATAGGAAAATAAGGACTTATCGTTTGCTCCGCCGTAGTCATGTAGTCCGCGAAGATTCATAGCATCCACTTTTAACATCAAATAAATCCAAGGTAAACTCCATCAGTGGGATGGAGAGGTGGCGCTAAGTGACGAAGTGTAAGGGGATGAGTGCGTCATCCAACCGTCTTTTGAATACTCTCAGTGTCGGCGCAGAGACGACAAATTCTGGGAGAGTATTCCACGGGTGACAGACACGAATGGAAAAGCAAATTCTGCGGCACTCCAGACGGCTGCAATGCACAGCGAGTTTCAATGAGTGGCCCCTCATAATAGTCTTGGTGCTGAGTCGCAGTAAACGGCGGCACACATTATGTGGGTCTTGCAGAATCAAGTATGCCATAATTAGGTCGCCACGTGGTCTGTGGTAGCTTCTGTTGAATACTCCCAATGGTTGCAGCCTCTGCTCGTATGAAATATTGCGTATTACAATTATGTTCTTAGATGTTGGACGCGGAGGCTACTACAGTGCGTTAAGGTCGTGTTTCTACCAGGCTGGAATTGCGTATTTGACATGGGGGCGAACATACGCACTAAGTATTTGTCGAAATATGGAGTTGTTTATTTGTCCAAACGCTCGTCGTAACAGCCCGACGTGTTGGTTTCCAGTCTTCGTGACCCTTTCGGATTGCCTGGAGCAACCCAAGTCATCTTGAACCAGGACACCCAAGTCACGTTCGACAGTTGATTGTTGCAGTACATTCGTTCCCATCCGATATGAGTAGCTACTCTGATGTCGGATGGAAAGTACCTTGCATTTACTGATGTTGAATTGCAGTGTCTTCCGTTGGCCATTGATATCCCGTAGCTATATCTCTCTGAAGAAAATTCTGGTCGACGTTCACCTGAATATTGCGCCAAATCTTAATATCGTCGGCAAACATTAGGAAGTTTGAAACGATTCCCTGTGCAAGATCATTAATAAACACCAAAAACAAACGTGGACCTAGAACTGAGCCTTGCAGCACACCACACTCGACTGGTATGGGATCCCATAAAGAGCTCTGAACTCTGATCATTAATTGCCGTTGAAGTAGAAAGTTGGCAATCCAGCTTAGAAGAGGGTTACCGCTCACGCAATACCGGCGCTTGGAAAGTAGTACCTGATGGTCTAGACGATCGAAAGCTTTCGAAAATCCAGATGGTTCACATCAACGTCTTCTCCAGCGTCAGCTGACTCGGTCCAAGTACTGGGTTCGTTTAGTAAATTCGTTGAGCGTGAATACTGTCGACGGAAGCCGTGCCACTGGAGCGTTGACGTTGCAGTTTTCCAGATAACACAACAGTGTATCGGTAATGATGGATTTCATGCCCTTGGAGAGTATCGGATGAGGGAATACTAGGCGGTAGTTGGAGTGCTCAGTTCTGCTTCTACCTCTGTAAAATCAAGCAGGCTGTGTAGGCATTGCTTGTGCTGTTGGGTTTACTCTGTTTGCTTAGATTTTAATCTATAAGGCTATTTTTGATCACGATCTACTTTGACGTCAAGTTTTCCCTTCGCCTAGCAGGGCAATAAAGCGATGAATGAAGTACTGGCTTTCGCGTTCCTCGTACAGCCTGGTGGCTCAGTGCATGTGGCATTGAATGCGTCTGAGCGATAAATTATATCTAGTTTGCCCGCCTACCGAGAGAATCACGTAGCATACTTCTTCTGTATGCTGTACACTGGCTAGGGTTTGACTACGTTATTCGCGCAGTTTGCACAGTGTGCTGGGGTCGACTATCAGTACCCTAACTCCAAGGATGCCACAGCAAGAAATGATGATCCCGCTCTGACGCCAGTTACGCAGCCTTCGCAGTCGTTACTAGAGACAGCTTGCAGTTTCTGTCAAATTTAAAATCATGGGCAAGGGCATAAAGTGAGAATTTCCATCCATTTGTAACCCTGAGGGCGTTTAAAACAGAACGATAAAATCTAAGCGCTTTGGAATGCTCCAGACTTATACTTATTATATTTTGAGAGTGATCTTTCAAAACCAACTAATGACACAAGCGTACACCAGAGTGACTCCAAGTCTTCACTTGATAGTACAGGCTGTCACACAATCATAAGAAGCAGTGTGTCTGGATGTGTTCGGCTTAGTTGATTTCGTATCCGCAAGATCGCTAGTCAACTATTGTACTCTCGTTTTGGTAGAATGCAGCTTATCGCGCATACAGCACCCTGAATTCCAGCTCTATGCCCCGTCTTAGAGCCAATTGTAGTACTGCGTTTTCAATTCTGCCAGCTGGGAAATTTTGCTTACTTTGTTGGCCGAGACGTTGCCGATATGCGGGCAGAGGTTGTGTTAAATCAGCGGATTTGGAACATGCTCTGGACGCGGTTTTTATTCGTAGCTACCGAGCCAAAGCATCCACACAGCCGGTCCTTCCGGGGCGCTCGATGTGTGGAATAAAATTCCACTGTAGGGTAGACAGCCAAAAGAATCAACGCGGGATTCGCTTAATCTGTTATATTACGGTGACCAGATGGTAAGGTTGTGCATGGGTAAATCCGTCACTTACGTCCGAAAAGCGCGTTTTAGTAATACGACAGCGGCCGGCGTTGAATATCATTTGATGTATCTCAGCGCTTTTTACCCAAGTTCTGTCGGTCCACTTCAGGCGCCTGCCCTCTTCATTCATGTCCGAGTGCCCACATGTTGGGTCATAGCACACATAATGGATTGTTCCTGTCAGAAATTCAATACCTTTTCTGATAGTCGTCAAGTTGGTCCAATGAAGGAAGTTTAATCTAATGTTGAACGGCTGTTTGATTTTGATATCCCTGCTGATGCTGGACGGAGGGGAATGTAGCGGAAAGGCTAACGACATGCCCCGAACTGTCACTTTATAGTCAGTAATATCCGTTCGCTGTCCGGAACCTGGCTAAAATCACCCCTGATTCATCCAATCACACCCACTCGTCCATTGTATAGTCTTCCACAGCAGTCACGTCATACGGCAGAGCGAAAACAATGCTTCCTGCTTGTTGCACTGTTTCTCGTAAATATCATGAACATTTTCACTGATGGTCACGCAGTATCCACTAGCTGTCGAGAGGACAAGTTTGGTTTACTGAGTTAGTATCAAAAACAGCTACCACTACGGCGCTCACCGAAATGGTGCATGGAACCACTGTAGCTGCAGTTGCCTTGTAAGATGGAAGAAATTAAAATGTGTGCAAGGTGGAGCTAGCTCGACTTTTCTTTGCTGCACTGGTTAAAACACTAATTCAGTGGACCAGGGCCATTAAAAGTGTTTATAGGCCAACCTATGTATCCTACAATTCCTTGTCAGAAGTACACAAATATAGGAGAATCAGAATGTATGGACAGTATAACAGTCAGTTTACCTCTGTTCCTGGGCCTCTTTCTACTCAGGCCATGCAGGCTGAAACCCGACCAGTTAACTCACAGCTCCGTCGTAAGGCTGAGGTCCGAAACGCGACCAGAGTTTTAAATCGTTGTTTGCTTTGCTGGTTCGTTCTGTCTATCGCTTGCGCTATTTAAGGATGGAGGTGAGGTCCTATGCAAAGCACTAACCTTCCTGTTCAACCAGACCTGGGATGAAGAGACCATCCCAGTCGACCAGGGTGAATCGGCCATAGTAGCAGTATACAAGAAGAGCGGTCACAACGCCTGTGCTAACCATAGAGTGTCAGCCTGACAGCAAAGTGATAAAGATATTAGTCTCAAGTCCCATCCGTCATCGTACTGCAGAATAAGAATCCAGGGTTATGGAAGAGCAGGAAAGTTTCCATCCTGGACGAAGCTGTAATGATCATATATTCCCTTTGCGTAGGCGCTAAAACAATGTCACCCGTACCACAGACCGGTAATAACTATTCCTCGATTACACAGTGTTTTCGGTTCAGTCGATCACACAATCCACTTCAGCATAGTTGTTCGGAAGAGTTTTCAAGACATATATGCTACCATTCCGCGTGCCTTAGTTGAAAATCACGGGTCGCATCAGGATCTACGGTGAATTGTCCGACGCCCCTCCCACAAGTGGTGTCCGCCACGGTTGTCCTATTCCACGCCCCATCTAACACCGTGAGGCGTTCTCTTAAGGAATCTCATGAAGTAGGCATCGAAATGCCGCTTGGTAGAATATAGGTAGAGCTGAATTTTGCAGACGATATTGTCGTATTATTTGACAGTCGAATGGCAGCATGGCTGACCCAACATAAACTCCCTACAGAGCTCCCAGCATTTAGTGTGCGCTTCTAACCTTCAAAGTGCAGTGTTGTTGTGGAGTCACCAGCCACTAGATGTCCTATTTTCCTCTGAGAACAATGAACTGTAATCAACTAACCATATCAACTACCTTGACAGCTGTATAAAACAGCAATGTGTGTGACTGGTGAATTTAGTTCACTTGTTGCGAAAACTAGAACTACCTACTTGAAGTTGCGATATCTGTGGCGTCAGAAAGGGGGCTTCCTCCAGCTGGAAGCTTGTGCTTACAAGGCAACATTGAAGGCCATTTGACTATAGCAGTGTGACTTGTCCCGTTCGGTCTGAAGAGCTGAAGCGCCTTCTGATCTTGGAACACTGCCGCCTGTGTCGCATTGCCGATGTCGGATGACCTCAGTGTATCGGCAAAGGTGATGTATGCAGGAGAGCACTAGGCGGATTCATTGAGGTAAGTTCTTTAGAACAACAAATAGTGGACAAGTTGCGTTTGATTAGGAACGCGTTACATATCTCAAGCCACCACTTACCGAGGAGGGCTTTGGTCTGCTAATCAAATGTTGGATGTCTTAAGGCTCGGGGTAAGCAAAAGTGGACTTAACAATGGAAATGATTACACTAAACAGGGTGCTTTTGGTCCGTCTCGCCTTCTAGGCCGAAGTCCACTTTACCCGTCTAGTGTTTGTCTCGAGAAGTTACAGGACCTGGCTCGCAGTCAACACTATTGACGCGCCTGTTCTCGTCCCTTTGTCAGAGTATCTGGCGAAGAAAATTGCAAAGAAGCTGCCTCGTCGGTGCCACCTTACCTCTGCATGGTAGACCGAAGCTTGTGGTTATCTGTTGTTGACCAACTGTAGGCGTTTTAACCATGTCTGTTTGTTTAGGGTACTTGAGTTCTACCCTGATTCCCATTCTCCCTATCCTATTAATCTTCATTCCCTAGGTCATTTTGGATTCAGAGAAGCGAAGAATCCCTTCAAAGTGTTGACTTAACACTGTTGTGGTTGTTGTTTGTTGTCGTTGCTTTTAGAATACTGCATTTAGTATTAAATGGTCGGCACAAATAGATGGCAGGCACGTTCAGTTTGTGCGCGATTCTGCTTGGCAGAGAGCACATTCCGTTTTATCCGACATAGTGCTAAACTTTCTTGATTGACAAATCCGATTTTTACAGCTGGAGGACGTTAGCCACGGCGGTGATGGCAGTCGGGCCTGATAAACCCCAAAAGCACACAACTCAACTTCACTATCTCCATGCCTCGTGTGTTGACGTCACGTAGTCAAAGCAGCCAGTTTCGACAAAACCCTTTACAACACAGGACCCTATGTGGTTAGTTGAGAGAAGGGATAACGTTTCAACAGCTAAATTGATCTGGTTTGTGATCCTGACAGTTGTCAGTCCCAATCATCAAAACATGACGATAACTGGTCGATCTACTGACGGATCCTGGGGAAATTTCCCAAAAAGATGTATATTTATACCTTCTTTTTGAGGAAGAATGGAAAAAGCGAATTATTAAAATCGAAAGGGGTGAAGGGAGAGTATGACTGACTTACCATCTGGATGATCGGAGGAGCCCGTGTCATTGCTTACTTCCCTCGATTTGGGTACGGTGGATGTGACGGCGCCTTCTTCATGGACATTTTTGAGTTGATGATCATCCCACAGGGTAGTAAACCAACCGAAAATTAAAAAAATACGAGGGATTCTGTGCGTTCGGATGGTGGACTTACAGCAGTATGGTGAGCACAATACAAACGGTGGTAGGCCTAGATCTCAGGCAAACAGGTGAGCGCATAACGCTTCCCAGGGTGGTGATTGGTCTATGAACATTTTTAGTGGACATACACAAAACGGCATATTTTTGCGTTGAATGAAGACGGTTTTAAACTACATGTAATGAGATTAAGGGATGCACTAACAGGCAATCTTTTCAAAATGTGAGAGAGCAATGGAGAAACCGGTCGATTCGATCAGTTACCAGCAACTTAATCATAATGACTGCATGTTTCTGATGTAAGGACGTGGAGGACATATTGTTGTGCGGTCCTCCAAAATACAATAACAAGGCTGACTTGTAATCAAAATTTATCAGATACAAAACGGTCTGAAAATAGTTGCGACTGCCCTACCGTAATTAATTTATGGTTAATTCTGCGTTTTGTCTGTCGATGCTCCGTCAACCGACTTCAACTCGCTGCAAGCCGCTTGACCTCGGCTGCGTATGAACCTATCGCATCTCCCCGTACTCCAGAATTGAATACATCTTGTCGATTCTACCACAGGCCATGAGTGTGTCATCAGTCCAACCTAGTATGATCGTAGTTGCTTGGCGTGTGCAACACTGGGGGATATTCCGATGACCTTCCTAGTTCACTGTGAAACGATTTACCCATCATGTACCGATTTACCTGATCAGATAGTGTGTTGGTATCACAAGCATCAACCGGTGGATATACAAACTGAGCACTTTAGCATCTCTGAAATCTTGACACTTGAAACGTGTTATTAATGGCATCCACAGGCAGTTTTCCAGCTGATGTTAACAGAACTCTTCCAATAGTTTAACTATGGAATTGTTCAAGTCTTCCTGTTACGGAGAGTCATCATTCAGGCAGAGAGCAGTAACGCAACGGTGGACCGATCTACCAATAGAGATCAAAGGCGAGTAAAGATCAAAATGCGAATCTATGTGGAATCAACGGCAAGTCGGCTCATGAACTTGAACGGTTTGATTTGTGTTAATTACACTATTGGCCAAATTATTAGAAATTTTTTTCAATCAGCAACTTTTTTTCATCTTTCATCACATATCTCGTAGGAATCAAATGATGTAACTGTAAAATGATTATATTTACCAAGAATAACATATCGAATGGCAAATCATCAAGGTATGTATTTCGTAAATGATACTTTGGAAATTTTCAAAGTTAACACGCAAAGGCATAGTATGTGAGGTTAATGCAAATGATGACAAATTAGTTGATGTGACGTGTACAGTAGTTATGTAAACGGACGGTTGCCTTTTTATCATTCTTCGTTATTTACAGCTGTAGTCTACATTTCAGGATTACATTTGTCTGGTTTTGGATCAATTTATAGGCATGTTTAATTACCGTTATTGTTATTTTTCAAGGTGTCTTCTAAAGTAACGACACAACCGTATTTTTCGCCAGTTTTTATTTGGTGTTGGCATATTAATGGGTAAATTATGTGACCTAACCCCTTGAAAGTGTGTACAAATTGAAATTTTGTTGAGAGATGTTAAAGGAGCGGAAATTGCAACCAAGGTTGGTGTCAGCCCAGCGTCTGTATGTCGACTTCGAAAGAAGTTGCAAAAGAATTTACCCCTGTCCCCTAAACATTCCGGTAAACGTGGTCGCAGAAGAGCAACAACAGCTCGAGACGACTCACTTCTACTAAGGGAATGCCTAAAGAATCGCAAATCATCTGGCAGACAGCTACAAGGGATGTTGGAACAACATGGTGCTGCAGTTAGTTCGAGAACTGTAAGAATACGACTTTTGGATCTTGGATTTCGAGCTTGAATGCCTGAAGAAGGAAAAGTTGACCAAACAAATGAAAGAAAAACAACAGGAATGGGCCAAACAACTTCAGAAATAATCCAAAGAATGCTGGGAGCGGGTAAGAAGCGGAAGTTTTATTTTCATAAGGATTTTCAGAAAAATTGTCTATTTTACTTTTGCTGTGTTTTCTGCGTTTTTCTGTGTTTCATTTTAGGTGGTTTTCAGCGAGGAGTGCATCGTCCGGTGCTCTGACCAGCAACCCTGCCTGGCGAACAGATGAGTGAAGACTGTATCATTCAGCGTGTCAAACATCCCACTCAGGTCATAATATGGAGCTCTATGAGCATCTACGGAACTGGTTGGCTCTCCATTGTCCAGGATAACATGAACCAGCAGCAGTACGAAGAACTACTGGAGCACCAACTGATCCCTCAGTTGTTTGAATGGTCAAAGGATAAAGGGCAATTCTAAAGTCAGAGATGAAGAAGAAAATTATTACAAACAAGCAACTGTTCATTGAATAAATTGTAGCGACCTGTGCTCGCACTGAAAGCATGACTGAACTTTGCAAAATACTCATTCACTCCATGCCTTTGCGTGTTAACTCCTTGAAAATTGCCAAAAGATCCTTTACGAAATACTGACCTTGATAATTTTTTATTCGATATATGTTATTCTTGGTAACTATAGCCTTTTTACAGTTACATCGTTTGATTCTTACGAGATATGTGATGAAATATGAAAAAATTTGCTGCTTGAGGAAAAATTTCTAATAATTTGGCCAGTACTGTAATATTAATTGGCATCTCCAATTTGGTTGTGTTAGTGATTTCCTACAACCTATTTATTGCTCCATGCTCTCCTGTAATAGAATCAGAATCAACTATTTTCTTGGCGTTCTCATTTCGTTACGGTTGAACTGGTTGGGGATGGCATAGCAGATTTCAGGCAGGTTATCCATCCTGGTAGCGGAAAACACAATACTTCCCAGTCTTCATTCCGTAAACCGGATGTGACATATGTAGGTCACCGCAGAGATTTACGCCTATGTGATACAACCGGGCAACCAGTAACATTCAGAAAATGCGTTAACCCCAAATCGTTCGCTCGATTCAACTCGTTTCTGTGGGAATGGGCACATTAGCACAATTTGTCGCGATGTACTTCATTTCTTACATGGTTCCGAATCCCAGACACAACGGGAAAACCGCAGGCTATGAATCCTGAATTTCAAGAAACTAACAGATATTATATAGCATAAACTTTAACCGTTTTACGGGTTATACAGCCACGAATGCTTATACCAGGGCGAAAACGGGTCGGTCACGTCTTCACTGAAACTGCCGTACAGTCAGTATCTGCAATAGTGTCGAACAGCAAGTGAACTCGATTCAACTGAAGGAAGTTACCTAAGTCGACGCATCTATCTAAGCCGCTGACAGCCTGCACAGCCATTCCCTCGGGAGTGCACAGAAACCGATTTGTTACAAAGGAGACAATCTCTGACAAGCAGCCGTTGTTCAACCTCCTTCACACTTGAGCTGGATTCGAAACTGCAGCTCTCCCATTTGGGAAAGCGTTACTGGTAAGTGACGGGGTGATGTATGTCCCGCTACTACTCATTAGAGGACTATTTTCTGCCTGAACAAGAAGCAGTCTACTCGTTAAACTGTCAGGAGACTTCTGGGCTTATATATATGAGGCGAGGATTCTTTTCGCCATTGTATGCGCAGTCATGGACATTGGAAAATTACGAGTGTGTTACTGATGCTACTGGTGCTGTAGTTACTTTTGCACAGTTGAAGCCCAGTCGGCTTGAGCCAACTGTAGTTTACTCCATGCTACTTTTATTGAATTTTGTTGTTTTTCTCATCCTTATCCATTAGGCAAACTTCCGGTTGGCGAAGGCAAATTTGGGTCCAAATTTCATATCTCGAGGCCTCCTCGAGGCTATTATTTACCGTGCCAGAGGAAAATTCTGCCCGTAACTAACAGTTTTGTAGACAGAAGCCTACTCATGTGAGACGCCGTGCATTAGCTAATCCTCATAAACTCCATCAGGGGATAAGTCCCGATTAACCAGGTGTTTTGGTAGGTTATGCCACCTAAGCAAACAGTGGCAAGATCAGCTTCCTGGACAAGTATCATTAGGTAGATTCTCACTGGCGTCTGCAAAGTACACCAACAGAGATATCAACTTATCGCAGACTCCGCCGAATAGAAGATGACCTTGCACTTAGACTGTGTCGAACTTGGGCACCTTCTTATCGGTTCATGGTTTTCCGAACGTGTGAAAGCACATGCCCAACACGGGCATTTCCAAATAAAAACGCCGACCACCAAAGTTTTGAAGTGAAATACCCTACTGGGATGCTGTGGTTAAAGGTGAACACAAAGTCAAACTAGCAAGCCTGCCGCACAATCAACCCAGAGAAATGCGGTTATTTCAATTGGTCTGGAGAGGATGTGCGCTTCCTGGCCACCTGAGCTGTTGCAGGTTGGCACTAGGTGTTAATCTCAGGAGATGAAGGGGAAGGAAGATGCGACCGCAGCTTCCTTTTGTTTAGGCGCTGCACCAGCATATCGATCGGGTCCAACACATCGCTACTAAGCTTATTCGGAGTCTACCAGGTTTACCGTACGAAGATTTGTGCGAGAAAATAGGATGGTATATTTCTCCACTCATCAGGTATGATTCGATCTCATCGTGACCTACTCGATATTACATCCTGGTTACTCTTCCAGATTGAAGTCGTTGCTCCACTTGCGAACGCCATGAAGCAAAAACGGACTCCTGTACAAGGTTGGGGTGTCGGACAGGAAACGATTCCCCTATCCCCCGTACTTCAACGGAAAGTGGCAGATGTTTAGGACAGTCTACCAGAACGTGTTGTGGTGGCCAAATCTTTGCGGCAGTTCCAAACTTTGTCGGATTTGCATCTCACCAGCATTCGATTTAGTGGATGTTTGTGCACTGATAATGGCACGTCATATGGGTAAGTCCAGAGAAAATGAAGAACGATTAGAGTACCAACAGTAGACGAATACTTTTTATAACATTTCTGATCATCTTTCGATGGAGTTGGATAGGTTTAACTTTTTAATTGTCCCCACAATATATTATTCCGTATTCAGCCCGTGCAAAGAACACAAAACATCTTACTTTGAGTACGACATTCAGGTGCGATTGGACACTGTTCGTATTGTTTGTCTAAGGCCTTTTCCTCCTCACAGGGGAGCATCTCCTCTGACGGTTCGTACCAGTAGAATTGTCGCGTTCTCGCGTTTCGCTTGAAAGGGAGACGCGCACAGGTTCTAACTCGTTGCTTGATTCGCCGACGTTGTAGCGCTTCGTTTCTAGGCTGACAGTCCGTTCCATCAGCACACGGAGACCACTCAGACCAGGGACCCCAGAACAGGGCGGTGATCTCCGGACCGATGAAAACCTCATTCAGCCGTATCGTTTTTGCACTGAACGAACTGTAGGGCAACCACAATCGAAACACCGGCTGTGTAAGCACAGTACCTGAATAAAAACAAGACAGCTCCACTGTGACGTCAAGGTGAGGCAAAGGGCAAGTATTGATCGCCCGATCCACTAACTGGACACCGCTGTAGATTTTAGGGAGAACTATGTGACCCAGAATCTTGTCACACGGCAGTGGAGTATGCTAGCATATGCATCAGTCATGTTCGTACGAGAGTACTTTATAGAAAGAATAACAACCACAGCTAAAATGACCCGGACTTAGTCGAGTAAAAATGTGTACTTTGGTACATATTGATGTAGTTCCGATTACATGGTCGTGTTAGCATCGTTAGCTGTAAGCAAGTTATTGGAAGAATCTGTGAAACTGACTGGTGGTAGTAAGGCCCTGTTACATTCTGTTTTGCGGACTAAGATGGATAAGAGTTGGAGTAACTGTATGTGCTTTGATGTGTGGTTACTTGCGTCTTACTTCTAGTAGGACGTGAAGAGGTTAACTTCGAGGTGAAATATTTTAAAACTGTACTTTTATTTAGGGAAGGAATTTCGGGGTTTCTTTGATTAACTTTCAAGTTTGACCACATGAACACCCTGACGGTTGGCGGTGACTAAATATAATCCAGTTTAATCATTCTATGTTGAGACTTTAGAATGATATACCAAATACTGGGTGGTTCCAGTCACGTATGCCACCATCTGAAAGTTAGTCCAGATACCAACCTCAGAAGCAATGGCTTGAAATTAAGTCAGTAACACAGTCGTTTAGATTGTTGACAAACTTACTTCACTCTCTCTCTTGGTCTGCCAACATTGGAACACCAATCCAAACATAACTGTTATTGCTCCCACTTTAGCTCTTTTCAAAACTGTTTGAATATCGCCCCGAGGAACGAATACTCTCGATTGTATTCCACCGAACTAGGTTTTGAACTATAATCCACGCTGAAAACATGAAATTCGCTAATCCGGTACTTGGAATAACACGATTGCTAAAATAGCGGAGCCGCACACAACGAAGCCCATCTCTACATCATACCGCACCCGAGAGTATTCTTATAAATACTCCCGAGGCTGTAGTTGAAGCGTTCAACTTTTTTTGGCAATTCTATCACCATTGTGAACTGCACACCTTGGGATCTACCTACACTGTACTCTGAGCCATATATTTCTAACACTTGTTGACAGTGGTTCTATAATGGTTCTAGATGGAATCTCCCCAGTTCTTCCAAAGTGCAGTTGGAATGACATCCCCAGGTTACTATCGAATTTGTTCATTACATCAATGACATCCGGGTTTTATGCCTACCAGTGAAAACTGAGGACAGTGAGACTCGGCCACAAGGCCGGATGTGGACATGATATCAAATGTTATCGGCTCGTAATTCATACTGCTTTAATTTCTAAAATCATGGGGTATGTTGTTAAAACTGAAATCGTTAAATTCTTGTCATCAAACATTATTTCGTCACTTTTATAGTATAGATTTATTCAAAAGTGTTCAAGTGTCAGTTGCTGATCGAAGTTGATGGATTCTGGTAAGACCTGTGTCCCACTTCCCTTAGAGCTACAAAAAGCTTTTGTCAGACTTTCACACAGCTTATACAAAACTCCGTACTAATGATATCGCGAGCTCACTATTGTCCTGGTTAGAAGGTTACCCTATTGATCGAAAGAAGACAGTCAACATAAGTAAGTACCCGTTAGAGACAAGTGGTATTAGTAGTGGAGCGCTACTGAGTAGTGCACTCAGCCCTCTTCTTTACATGGTATATGTAAATGTTCTCTTTCCTGAAATAAGGTGCAGCGGACCTTACCAATGACAGCTGATATAAACCCTTTGAATGCTGCAGGGTATCAACGTCTGTCTCTTATATCTGAGGTCCAAAGTGACCAAGTTTCACTGGAAGAATGATGTGTCGGATCTTCCATGAAATCTTCGACATCCAATTGCAGTATCATACGCTATGGATGTGGAGTTCCATCGGGATGTTTGCTCTTGCATGTGATCCTACTCCATTTATGGGTCACCGTATGTGACTTAGAACTCCGTTACTCAAGCTCTTCTAATTTCAAACAACAAGTTAAATATGCAGTGGCTAAAATATAAGACTGTTGGTTGTAGGAGATGGCATGGGAATCAGTAGGAACCGGCCAAAGAGGGCTGCTAAAAATAAGAGTACTGCCCCACTCCTGACACCTGAAATTGCCACCAAAATCCACAAACTAGAAAATGAGGTAACCGTATTAAACGAAAAGCTCAAGAGTTCAGTCAGGTACTGAATAAACTGACATCAATATCATACTTAATGGATGTGCCTGATAAACCGAATGCAAATGATATTTTCCCTGGAATAAGGCATGGTAGACCTTATTTATTCGCAGAGGATATAACATTTTGTACGCCCCTGATTCTCAATCTCCGTCTTTTATATCTGTGGTCCAAAGTGTCCTAGTTTCCCTGGAAGACTGGTGTGTCGGATCTTTCATGAAGTTTTTAACATCTTGATGCAGCACTATGTGCTATGGATGCTTGGTTCCAGCTGAATGTGTTTTTGCATGGAATCCCACTCCGTTTAAGCGAATCGATATGTGACTTAGGTCTCAGTTACTCAGTTGTGCTGAATTTCAAAAACAAGTTGAGTGTACCGTGGCTAAAGCACGACAGACTATTGGAATGATAGGCCGCATTTTTAATACAAACAAGCGATGTTAAGCTCCTGTTATTCAAACTGTACCCCAGACCATTATTAGAATATTGTGCCACCACTTTTAGTGGCATTAGAAGATGCGACACAAGTGCACTCGAGGCTACACCAAGGTCGATCACCAAAAGAATCGTGGACTGCACCTCTAAGGTCACTTATATAGATAGATGACGTCTGTTAAAAGTCGAACTGCTACGGCTTCGAGGATCAAATATATATGTATATCTATAATACAAAATTGTCCATCGACTGACATACACCAGTTACTATCAGCCAGCGTTCCAAGAATACCGTACAACCTAAGAAATAAAGACTATGTGATAAAGCTTACTCATTATCTCACACGTTCACGATAAAATATCTGTACAAATAAATATCCCACACTATGGAATGGGTTGCTTCAGGCTATAAATTCACTTTCGCTTCGAACACTTAAGATACAACTAAAAGGGCACTTAACTGTTAATAAAATTAAAGGACTGGTTCGAGTTAGATGTGCAGACAAATGGGTGTATGAGAACTGGCTTGATAATATCTAAACACTTGTGTAATTCGCAATGCAAAAGTACAGACAGTGGTGGGAGAAACATTTGTTTACACAACGTTAACCTTCCTTGTTCTTTTACCAAAAGTTTTTGCTAGGTAAATTAGTTCTATCTCTCCTTCCTTCCTCATACATTGTCACAGCCCCCGAGATCACACAAATTTATGTCACACCGATGGCCTATGAAATCATAGGCATGGCAACAGGTTGCATAAATGAGATCTATGCTTTCCTCATCTCATACGCTGTTATTTTCTTCATGTTACTCAGTTATGGCTCATTTATAGTCTATCAAAAAGAAAACACATCGACGAGTTGGATAAATGAGATTTATGACTGTTTATTCATCTAGCCTCTTACTCTGCTCTCACTAAAGCGGAAGATCCACAGATGGCATATGGAGTACATGCGCACATCGGTAGGTTGGATAAACTAGTTTTTTCTTTGGCCTTCATGTAGTGCTTCATTTCCCACACCTGTTTATCCATGTGCTTTAGAAGTCATGTCTGATTTTAGTCCGTTGTTCGGTGAAAAAGATGCACGCCGAGGGCTTTACCTACGAACGCAAAAGCAGCAGTGAACATGTCCGGAAAATTAGGTCACGCGCCCTACCTTGATCGAGCCCGCTGTGAATGGATCCAATACTGTTTCTAAAGGTGAGGTTGGGCGAGCAAACACGATGTCCGTTTGAGGCGAGGAGACAGGTGAGACACGGATGACCGGAGGGAACATTGCCGACCTGATATTCCAAAATGCTGTCTGCAAAGGACGATCGGTTAACTCATTTTGATGCCACCTCATGCCCTCTCGACCAGACTGTCTCAATCACTTAGAGGCGCAGTGCAGGCCATCGTTTACTCTCATAAATAAATAGAGAAATAACTATTTTATTCTCGGCGAAACAAGGCACACCTTTTGCGCATGATCAGAAGTCCACTTGTCAATAACGTAAGGTGGGGAAACATATCCAACGCAGTGGAATGTCTACAATGTGATGAACCCATTAAAGACGATCGGACTTTCGCCATCAGGTTATCCGTTGGTGCACTTAAGCGGCTGTTCTGTTAAATTATCCGTATGTTATGTGTGCGACGGTGTACTTATGCAAGCTTTGCGTGCGGATCCACGTGGTGATCAATCTTGACTAGGCGCTGAACCTGTCCGCATTATGCACAATGCCATTCAATTGCGTACAGATCAGTAAAAGCAAACTGCCGCAAGTCCCTGATCCGTTTCACATTTAGTGTGATTGTTGCTCACACGGGTGACTGCAGACATCCCTGTATTGTGTAACCGCCTTCAGGGCGTAGTGTCCCATAAGTTCTGTCCTTGCTGCAGTTGTCAATGTTCCTTCGTTCCTTGTTTTTCTTCAACTACTTTTGGCTCAATGGTCCCATATAGTTAATCTAATCGCGTACGCAAGCGAGGACCGAACATTAACTCTGTCGGGGTTCTACCTGTTGTCTCGTGTGGCGTGTTCCGGTACGCGAACAGAGAACGATGTAAGCGCACACGCTTATATATATATATATATATATATATATATAATCTGCGGATACAGATATTGTGCCATCGGAATCATGGCTGAAGAGGAAAACAGTATGAATAATAAGAAAAGAGCAACAACAACAAAAGCTTTTTTCGTCTAGTTTACCACTTACAGTTTTTGAAATTTTGTTCAGTTTGTTCTTTTTTAGGGGGAGGAAGAAGGGACGCCAAAACACACCGATGCACACGTCCGCCGCGAACCTCGATCTTGAGCCATGGCTTCCAAGGTCCGCAAGCAGCAA